CCTTCTTCCCTTTCCACAAGGTATGGGCAGCTGAAGATGTGAACTGGAACCTCTTTTCTAGATTCCCTGATTTCTTCATCTCCCTCTGGGTTTGAAATCTTATCCAAGTGGTAATCTCGACAGTCACTGTTGGTTTACTCCTTCTCCTTGTCCTATCTGTCTTCATTCATGAGGCCAGAATTCTCTGCCAGCCTAAGACTGATTACAAATCCAGTTGCTTCTCTTCATTCTCACTCCAAGAATCCTGAGTGTCAATAATGCATTTATGTAGTTATTGGACATGGACTTAATTGAATAAAGTTAGTAAAGGAGAGTGTGAAGGCACAGAGAGAAGGGGCTTTGTAGTGAAAGCACATTTCTCCATATGATCCTTTGACTCCTAAACCTTACCTCACTATTTGGAACCTAACTTGTAACTTTGGCTTATGAAACGGTTTTAATTTGCTGTGTATATTTACGAGCTGCCTCGCTAAAAGCCCCTATACTATGGCCTCCCCAACTACATGCTCTGAGACTCTACAATGCCTGGCAAAGAGATGGCACTGCCGAGGTAGCACCAAAGCTGAAACATTCCCACCCTGCATCTGGAAGAAGGCCTATACTAATGGTTCAGATGTTCAGGAGGAAAAACCCCATCCTTACTTCAGTCAAGGAGAAATGCCACATATACATCCTTGTTTCTAGGCAGAGAGGAACACTCCCACTGCCATCCAAATGGCCCCAGAAAAAAAAAAAAAAACCCTATCTAATCCACACTAAAAACCCCAGCCAGCAAAGCAATTACTGACAGCCGTTGGACTGCTTTATCATCTTCCACTCTTGGCTGATGTCTAGAAACCTCCCTCCTCATCTTTTAAGGATCACTTAAACCCCTGCACAGGGCTCCCTCAAGCTCTGTCCTTCTTCCTCTCTCCCGTACTTAATTAGGTTTTGCTCTCGCTGTGTCTGCTGTCCCTGTGATCATTGCTGCCTACTCACTGACTGCCAGGACTGGTAAATGTCAATATGCCGCTGATAAAGCCTTCTGCAATCATTCTTGGAGTCATCTTTTCTCGGCACAATCCAAACAAACCGACTGGATGGGCAACGGGTCAAGTCTGGGCTATTGGTACCTACCTCCCTTCACTCCATTGACCAGAGCCATGACTAAATGCTCTGATTATTGCTCCTCTGAGGACAAAGAAGAACAGGCAATGTGGCGGCTACCATCTGTCTTTCTCATAGAGAGGAAGAGTTAGGCCACTGAATCACATGCCGTGCTCCAGTAGTAGGGTCTCCTACACCACCTCCTCCTATGAACTCATGAATCGTTGTTCCGAATCACTCGGTCAGGGAGCCACACGGCTATCCTGATGAGCATGGGGCTGTAATTCAGGATCCAAATGAAAGGGCGTGCCTCAGCAACAGGGAGTTCACTTTCCCCTTAGACCTATGAGTACTGACCAAGATTATGATTACGGCCTGTGGGTGCCGTGCCTTGGATAACAGACTTCTTAAATTCCCCAGGGTCAGGGACTGAATCCCGCCCTCCTGTGGTCAAGACAGAGTCTAAACAGGGTAAATGGCTACATTAGTAGCACTGACACTAGCAAAAGAGGCCTCTATGTCCTTCGATAGGTATGAGTAACTTCATTTCAGGGAAGGAAAAAGTTGTATCTAATTATCAGAATTTGGGCCCTTCCCCTACCCACACTTGTGCTCCCAAGAATAGCTACAAATAACTAACAGGCTCTGTTTCTCCTCCACCCCAAGGTCAGGGACACCCTGTTTTCCTTGCAAGATTGTCCATAGAGAGAAACAAGTTTGCTTATTTTACTAGGAAGGCCCATTATATAGTTTCAAAAAACAACACTGTTTTCCCTCAGGGTACAAAAAGTCTACTATATGCTCAATTCAGGGGACTTCTTCCTTTTGAATTCCCCTGTCGCTACAAATTCCTAAATAAAGCTTCTTCTGATTTATGAGGTGTTTTTTCCTCAAGACAGATAGGCAGAACAAACATTATTACTACATTTTACAGATTTAAAAACTGAAATAAAATTTATTATTTTAAAAGAAAGGCTTGCAACTTCCTTGAGAATTTTATGTAAAAAATTTTAACTGAAGATTGGCTACATTTCACCCTCTTGTAAAATCTGTTGCCGACAGGTATTAATAGCTGTAATAAACTAAGTAGATCAGTATAACAAAGATTAAATTTGATTCATGATAATGTGTAAACATGATGCTAATTAACAAATTTCCTAATAGACATTTTCTATTTGAGGACATTAACCCAAATTCAAGCATTAGCTCTTACATTTTATAGATAGATAGACAGACAGACAGACAGATAGATAGATAGATAGATAGATAGATAGATAGATAGATAGATATGTTTTATATATATAATATGTCAGTTCTATAAAACATGCCAGTGGTCCACTGCAAAGACCAATCATTAATAATCTGATGGATTAGAGTTCTGATAACACTTCTACTGTGAAGAATAGTCATCTTGTCCTAAAAATGACACTATGCCTTGATTTCAGGATCAGTACATAAAACTACTGATTGAGCTTCCCTGCTTTTTCAAAATGAAAGAAATGTGAAGTTCTATTATATTTGGGGAAATTGAGTATAATATCATCCACTAAGTGGTGCTAATGACTATAATAAAGTCAGAAGCCTTTAGTTTAAGCTAATACACACATGATTAAATTTGTTTTCCCCCTTAACTCTTATGATATAAAGATGATAAAATTTTAGGGTGAATACTCCCATATGTAGCCTCGATAGGGTAATCTTGCCTCTTTCTACTGGCTACTGGCCAATTTTTCTTGCTTATTCTCGTCCGTGAATCTAAGATGATCCAGAGGAATGCTCTGAGCCAGAACTGATTTCACACACAAAAGAACCAAAAAGCCCATACTTCTCTCTTCCATTGCAGCCTTTGGGTGAGGAAGAACTGCTGTGAGCCTCCAGGTAAAGGAAGGTAAGAAAGAAAGGCTGCCATGTATCCCTGAGAGTACTGTGCCTGTTTCTTCTATGTTTCTTCTTTTTTGATCTTAGGTGAACAAGAATCCAGAGATGCAATGGACCAGAATATGACCTTGTGAGCTTTGAAAAGTCACCATCAGAGGTCCCTTTGGCAACTGGAGTTAGTTCGGACACCACCAGAGCTGACAGCAACAATAATTGAGTCTGGTGAGGAGCGACCTGCTTGACCCAGTCCAGCAGTAGATTGGCCTAGTATTGACCCAGCTGCTAAGGCACCCTGTCCTACAAGAAGTTAACCCAGCTGAGCTAGTAACACACACACATTTTTTAAATTTTATTTTAAATATAAATACAAAATAAGAAAAGAAAAAAGAAACAAATTTAAATACTAAAACTAAAATGATACAAAATAATAAGAAAAAGCATTGCCATGTGCACAGCATAACATAAGAGAGGATTCAAAATATACAGGAATAAATTTCCATTTCAAGAAAGCCTATATAGGGGCAGCTAGGTGGCACAGTGGATAGAGCACCAGCCCTGAAGTCAGGAGGACCTGAGTTCAAATCCAGCCTCAGACCAAACACTTGACACGTAATAGCTGTGTGACCTTGGGCAAGTCACTTAACTCCAATTGCTTAAAAAGGGAAAAAAAATACAAAAAAAAGAAAGCCTATATAATAAATACTATACATTGTGTTGAGAGATATCAATCTTTTCTTTGTTTCCTTGTAAGTTTTCTTTTGTTCTCTGCTGTGCACTTTTCACTTTGTTCTTTTTTTCTCCTTTTCTGCCCCCCCAGGCTATAATTAAGCACAGACATGCATACCCATATACATCTATATACATACATATATATATAAATATACACACAAATACATACATATATATGCCCATATACACATACACTTACTTACACATACATATACTTAGATATCCATAATTATATTCATATATAGACATATACATTCATACACATCTATGTAAGACTTATTTGTCCTATGTTTCTCTGAGGGTGGATAATCTTTTTCTTCAAAAGTTCAAGTCTTTCCATATTTTTCCAAGCCCACTAACTCATAATTTCCTAAACCATAGCAATATTCCAACCTTATACTGTCTAGTTGTTTTAAATAGTCCAAAACAACGTTGATGAATATGGTAATTTCCCATTTTTCTACACATACACATTTACCAACACACAAGCTCATCTTTTAAGGGTTCCCTTATTAGAAAACAAAAACTTGGACAGGACAGACATCTAACTTACTCAACTATATGTTCTCCTTAGATAGTGCTCTCAGCAACACATTGCATGGTCCATCCTAATGAATCACAAGTCCTGATTTCAACTCTTATTCGAGGGTGTCTTCAGTCTATCTAACTCAGTGAACAACATGGACAAGTGGGATTTTTTTTCTAATTCTAAGATTGAGATTATCATAGTCAACAAAATTAACATGAAGATGACATCGCCAATAGTTGTTTACATGTTATCTCCTCTATTATACCATGAACTCCTTGAGAGTAGGGACTGGTTTTTTGCATGTCTTTGTATTCCCAGTGCTTAGCATATAGTAGGCACCTAATAAACACTTGTTGACTAGACCTGACCAATAGCAAATGAGGTGCCTATGGAGAATTCCTTGACTTTCACAAAATCTCACAAAAGTCATAGTAATAGCCAAAGATTGGGCAATCATAATTACTCTGATTTGGTAAAAAGATTTTTGTGCCCTTTAACTCAAAGTAGCTAGCAGGTACAGCACCCAGCCTGGAGTCAGGAAGACCTGAGCTCAAATCTGGCCTCTGACACTTTCTAGCTCTATAGCCCTAGGCAAGTCACTTAAAAAAAAATCTGTTTGCTTCAGTTTCTTAATCTGCAAAATGGAGATAATAATATCACCTACCTCCCAGTGTTGTTGTGAAAATGAAATGAGATAATAATCATAAAGTGCTTAGCACATAGTAAGCACTATGTTAGCTATTATTAAATGTTGGCTACCTGGAAGAAAGCCACTTACCTTGATGAATAGGTGCATGATGCCAATCGTCACTGAATTTGCCTCCTATGTGCCGTCCCTGGTAGTAAGTTTGCTCTTTTCCTGCAGTCTATAGACAGACATACATTTATATACATGCACACACATCAAGAAATAGTGTCATCCTCTTCAAATTTCACTATTGTTAAAAGCCGTAATAATAGTAGCAGTGGCCTTGATGTTGTGACAGATTGCATGCTATATTTATACCCAATTTCCACTTCATGGCTCCAAGGTGGCATAAAGATTTCAGGTTCTTTGAAGAATGTTTGTGTAGGCGTAAGGAGTACTTTGTAACTTTGTGAAAACTGTACCCCACCCCTAGTCTTCATTAACTCTCATGATCCTTTACCAAGTGTGACAATAAAATGTGCTGTTCCTTATGCAGCTGCATTACTCAACACATTAATCCCACCACTGTTAGTTTTGTATACATAAAGACATGGTCTTACTGAAATGTCCCTTGTAATTCAGCATTATAATTTTGCTTAACACGTTTCTGATTTAAGGGATACAATACATTTTCTTGTTATAAAAAGTGATATCAAAACATTAAAATGCTAAGTGCTTACTGGGGAAGTTTAGGAATGAGATCAAGATGGCTGTGCAATCCCAGGATTTTATCTTTCCTGAAAACTACATATGTTATACCATTCTTAATGGCCCCAAAGCATCCTAATACTTTTATCTACCTTCTATTCTTTCTTTTCTTCTCTGCATCAATGCCATAGTTGTGGTGATATGTTAGTGACTATGATCAGTTCTAAGCTGAGGAAGTCACAGTGGAGCATAGCAAGGAAGAAACCTTCTTAGGCTAAAATATTCTGCTTTCTTCCCCACCCCCATTTCATGCACTGGCCTTTTAAAAAGCATGTAATAAGTTGAGGCGGGAAATGGGATTGGAACTGAGATTTTCAAATAACAAATCTATATATTAACCAAGTGGGGCACTAAACAAAGGAAAATACAAGAATCTATTTGTCATTTGAACTTGTATTCTATCACTGAACAGAGAACCCACAACCCCAAGTGAAATTTTTGGAAATTTGGTATGAGAAGGGCAACATAAAATAATCCAAGTACTAATGCAATTTGTGTTGAACATGCTACTAATTTTCACTTTTTTATTCAAGCCTCCAGATTTCAGACTGTCTGGAACCAAAATATTTTTATACTTATCTAACACCAAATTAGCCAATAAAAGAAGCTAGTGATATGAGCTGCTAAGAGAATACAGTTTAAGTCAAAGTGTCTCATATGAAATACATCCTTCAGTCTACTGACCCTTCACAAAAAAAAAAGAAAGAAATCCTCTGACATACCTTGCTTGTGTCAGTAGAGCAAATTCTGGTCTTTGCTCTAACATCAAGAAACTCCCCTGTATGGGGCACTTTGTTGGGAATGCTATTATAATATGGATGTTCTGCTCTTTCTCCCTCTTCCTCCGTCCATGGTTCATCCAGACTTTGCCTGCTGTGAGGATAGGTTTGACATTGGCTTCAGTAAGGAATATATGCTTGCAAAGCAATCAACTAGTCTAATGAATATTATTCATGCCACTAATAATATAGTTTTATCACCCACATAATCTACAGCCATCTCATCTTATATTGCTGACTACTTTCCTTCTGAAGTATCTGCCAACTATTCAAATGAGTTGTGCTCAGAAAAATTCAGCTTTCAGGTTTTCTTCTTTTTCTATACTGGTAACAGTACTCCAGTACTCCAGTGGGTTGTACACCACCCTACACACTCATCCATATTCTCTATCTTTCTTAGGTCACTCCTGAAATGAATAATCCTGGATTAAGCTGAAAGCATACCTCCGCTTTGTATCTGCCCTTGCCATTGTAGAAGATAAGGGAAAAAAATCTGTTTAAAGAGACAATATGTGTATGTCTTTTCTTTTCTCAACCCTTTGGTATCCTAACTCCTCACGATGTATATCAGCTAATCAATCGATCATCAAAAATAAGCATTTATTGAGTGCTTACTATGTGTAAGGCACTGTGCTAAGCACTGGAGATAAAGAGACCAAAAAAATGAAATAGTCTTTACTTTCACTGATCTTACATTCCATTGGGAGAGAGAACATATAAACGTATAAGTAAATGCAGAATAAATATAAAACAAATAAAAAGTAATTAAATGCAATGTGGTTGAGGAGGAAGGGAGTAGTTGTGGGAATCAGAAAAGCCTTTGTTGAGTAACTGGTATTTAAGCTGTGTGAAAAAATCTGATCAAATGGTTTAGCACAGAGAATATCACTTTTTTCCACACCCCATTTTATTTTTTTTAGTCATAGCTTTTGTTTTCATACCATCTTCATTTCTCAATATGTCCCCCTCCCAGAGAGTTATCTCTTATAAAAGAAAAACTAAAGTTAAAAAAAATATCTACCAGTAAAGAACTTGAAAAGAAAATCTATTCTACTTTTCCTAAATCTGGTTCCTAAGGCTCTTGATCTAGCCCAGGAACTCCTCACAGCTCTACCACTGCCTCTAACTCCTACCACCTTTCTCTACATGATCCTTTTATCTCTTGAGGCCACCTAGTTTCTATTTTCCTGGGGATGTATTCTTTGGAGATGCCTCAGAAATGTTCAGGTTTCCTCTCTAGGTGGATCTACTTCTCTGCATACCTCCTCTCCTCTTTGTGTGTCTCAGTCTCAAATGATAAGCTTCATCTTTTCACATGCCCAATGAAAGTCATTTTTCCCAGTTACCTCCTCCATAAAACAAAGTTTGCTGTGGTGTTTGAGTGTATGAGTAGGAATATGAGGTTGTATGCATGCCTATAGACAAAATCTAAATATTTGAGTATTCCTATAAACATTGTAAGTCCAAAAAGAGAGATGGTGACTGGTTAAGCAAAGGAATGTATATGAAATATGAAAGAGAAGAAGAGAGGTGCAAGAGAGAATAGGTAAATGACATGAAGTTCATGAGAAAAAGTTATGTGTATGACAGTTCAAATGTGATCAAAGAGAACAGCTGAGAAATTGAGAAAGAGAAAAGAAAAGACTATATGAAAGACAGGTTAAAAAGGATGAGATAACTAGGATATTAATATTTTTAAAGCCTACATTTGTAAAACAAGGAAATTACTATGAAATGCCACAATGCCAAGGCCACCTCAATGAAATTTTAGCAACTTAAAGCTATTTTCTTTTTATTTTCTAAATATTCATGATGCTGTCCCACAACAGCTAACACTGAATGGCTTTTAACCATTTTGAGATTCAAGGTGCCTCTGTTCTGATTGACCACAAACCATCTAAGGGGAAGATGATGGTATGGTAGGCCATGCCTTTAGCTTTCCGCATTTCCACTTGTGCCTGGTAGCAAACCAGTTAGTGATATTTTCTGTGGTGACTTGTAGAATATGGTCCTCCAAGCTTTGGGAACTGGAATTCTCTATCCTTATCAAGAACAGATTACCTAAAAATCAATGACATCTTCTGGCCCATCCAAATACCATAAAATAATAATACCCTAAACAGTAAAGGCTTGGTTTGTCCAAGTTACTCTAAGAATCTACATTTAAGGATTCATTAATCTAGGAAACCAAATTCAAAATGTGAAACAACTGATGAAAGAACCAGGAAATAGTTCTCCTCCTTGTCTTCTTGCTGCTTTACCAAACTCTCAGTTCTTTCCATGCATTTCACACAAAGTGGCTAAAAACTAGCACTTACCTTTCATGAGCCTGTTGGTGTCTTAGGGAGCCATGGAATTTGAGAGCTGTCAGAGACCTGGGATGTTTTCTAGTTCAAACTCTTAATTTTGCAGGGACCTAAAATCCCACAACCAATTAATGATAAGGCCAAAACTAGAAGCCAGCTCTCCTGGTTCTCAGTCCTGTGTCTTTTCATTATATCATGCTACTTCTTCAATTCAGGAAATTTAAAATTTGTTTCCATTCCAATTTGCAGTTGAATTTTTTTCATAAAAAAGTAAAATCTATTAAGAAAATATTGCAATGAAATAATCACTGAAATCAGACACTCTGTATGGTAGAAAATATTCATTCTGGAAATCTAAGGATAAGAGTACCACTTATGTGCCCCTTCATGCAAGTGTATGTCTTGATATTACTTTTGATGAATGAAAAACAAAAATAGGACTATTCAAGAAAGATGAAAGCTAAAAAGGAATATGAATGCTCTATACTATCACTAAAGGCCATGTAAGATATCTACATACCAATAATAATACTCTAATTTCTTTATCAATTACAAGAATAAAACATTAGAACTAGTTATCACTAGGGGGACTTCAGATAAGTAAAAAGAAGTTATATTTTCGATAGCAGACTATAAACTAATGGAACAAAGAGATAGTATAGGTTAAAAATGTCCTTAAATTGGTTCAAGAAGGCTTAGAAAGATGATATATATATAACAGGTTCTTAAGGGAAGGTAGAAATATTGGGAGGCAGGCCATCTTTAACCTTTTGAGTTTTGCATTGTGGATTGCAGCCATGCTCCACTATAACACATTCACAACTTCCTAAAGTCATAGCAATATAGTTGAAAGGGATCTCAAAGGCCATCGAGTTCAAACCTTTTACTTTACAGATGAGGAAAATGAGGTAATGAGAAATGAAGAGACATGCCCAGAATTCCACAACTGTGTCCGAGCTGGGATTAAATTCAGGCCTTCCTCACTTCAAACCCTAACCATTAGGCAATGATGTCTCTGTCACAGGCAGGGCATTAAACCAGGTGAACCTTAGCACAAACTGGCCCAATATGACATTTCTTGTTTCATCTTATCTTCTTAAGATATATGGAAACTGTGGACAATTAATTTAAGCCATTAGATAATCTTCAGCTCAAATGAGACTTATGTAAAGTGAAGGAGGATTAAATTATAAATGACAGCATTGTTTTGGGTGATAGGCTTCCAGAAGGTACAAACTGTCAGATCAGTAATTTCACAGAGTAGCTAGCACCAGGCCTCTTACAAAAGGGATTTTTTTTTAGAAGTTGCTTTTCACTGATGCTGATAAGACAGATGCAATGAGAAGTGACATGAACCTGGTGGGAAATGATTCATGGAGATATTTCATAGTTGTAGGGTCCATTTGAGGAAGAAAAACAGTACAATGAAATAGTTTTTAATGTAACCTTGGTTACTATTATTGTAGTTTCCAGGAAAATGGTTTTCCAAATGTTGAAAGTATTCAGATGTTGAGCTCCATATGTTTATCTCCCTATGCCATTATCACATTTTATTCCAGATGATTCTGTTAACCAGAAATTTAGCAACTTTAATTCAAAACACAGTACTAGAAAATTGCTCTTCCCTTGCATGCATTTTTAAGAACATTAGTAACAAAGAATCTTGTGTTTTTACTTACCAGTCATGAAGAGCAGGTATCTTTGAAGGACATTGTAAATACTGCTTGAATCGAAGCTCAAAAGCTTGACCTATAGTGCTGATAACATCTCGAGCCAGGCCGTCAGAGCATTCCAGTATATGGCAGGCTAATGGAAGCAAGGAAAATAAAGCTGTCCATGCAGAAGGTTTTGTTTATACTTTACCATACATAAATAAAGCTTCATAAAAGCAAAAGCTATTCCAAGGTGAGATGGTTTCAAGAACCATTTACTTTTTATAATATTTTCAAACTATTTCACCATATTCATTCTGTCATACGACAGCTTCATAAAAATCCCTAGAGCCAAGGTATTAATACTATGAAATTCTTGAGAAGTAACCACCACCCGTCACTTAACCAACTTCTTGCATTTTAGACTGTATCACAACAACAAAAGCAAATAAATAAAGCTTTGCCTTTGAGGTCCTTGGCAGAGGGATGAGAGTACTTAGCTTTGCCTAATTTAGCTTTAAAGTGGTTCCAAATTAAGTGAAAAAATGATATAGTTGATTTGTGCATATAGAAACATAAACTCTTGAGGTTCCACAAAACTTACTGTTTTTATGTGTTTGTTTATTTATTTTTTTCACAGTAGTTATTTACAATACATTGACTCATAGGTTTCACTTCCATTTCCAGTTTTCAGGGTTATCAAAATCAAAATATCGACAACCAAATACACAACTGCCTCCGGATCACTGAGACTTCTTGTGTGTCAAGCTCTTCCAGCTTTGTGTGACATCACCAAAAAGCTCCCGAATGGGTAACTAATTTCCCTAGAGCTCCCCAATACCCAGAGGCAAAAAAACATCTGTGAGTTTTCTGTGCAACCAATATTAAAACAACTCATCAGTAAGAGGGAGGGAAGGGAACAAGGATTTATTAAGTGCCTACTGTGTGCCAGGCAGTGCCCTAAGGATTTTACAAACATTATCTTAGGTTATCCTCTCAACAGCCCTGAGAGATAGATACTATTATGATTCCTAATTTAGAGTTGAGGAAACTGAGGCAGATAAAGATTAAGTGACTTGTCTAGGGTCACACAGCTAGTAAGTGACTGAGGCTGGATCTGAACTCAAGTCTTCCTGACTCCAGGTCCAGCAGTCTGTCCTACCTCCCTAGGTAAGAGTACAAAATAATGTTGTGAAAAGATAGTAGCCATCCTGGTCTGATATTGAACTGTTGGCAATTCTATTTTCTCCCCTCTCATGGAAAAGCTAAGGATCATCAAAACGGGTCAAAGACTAGTCAGTAGGAGGGAAGAGAAGAAGCAGGAATCCTGAATAAGTCATATAAATTGTAATCAAAAGTAGAATATACAAGCAATATATAATGTTCTTATAAAACATTTTGCCCTAAAAGCAATAAAGAAATATTACCATTAGAACATTAACTTTTAAATTTTTATTAAAATTATTTTATTAAATTCATTAAAATAATTATTAAATTTATTAACTATTAAATCCTTATTAAACTTTTAAATAAACTAATAAATTTATTAAAAGTAAATTTTTATTAAATTTGTAAACTTTTAAATTAAATTAAAGGAACACCAGTAATAGATTTAGTGACTATTATCAGAAAAATTTAATTTGTAAACTTTTAAATTAAATTAAAGGAACAACAGTAATAGATTTAGTGACTATTATCAGAAAAATTTAATTCAGAGCCTTTCAGCTCTAATCCCGCATGCTCTAGACTCTCAAAATTTATTCTGTAAGGTTCTATCCAGAAAAAGTCAGTGTAGGAAAAACCAACAGTCACAAATAACTACTCGTAACAAAGGTTATAAAAATGAATTTCTATAAATAAGATCATTTTAAACACTGTGAAGTCTAAGTTTGGAAGTAAATTCAGAAATTCCCAAATTCTAATTGTCATTTTTTTCAATTACTTCACATTTGAAAACATATAAATTCTTATTTCCAAAGAGATTTAGTTAATATCCCTTTAAGAAAAAATTCTTAGTAACTTTTCTCTTCTTCACATTAAATGCTATATCAGGAGACGACCATTTTACCATAACCATGAGATAAAAGGCAGCATGACAAAGTGGATAGAGAGTCATCCTTGGAGTCATGAAGACCTTGGGCTCTAGTCTTGCCTTTTAAGAGTATTAGCTATGTGAGCACATAAATCAGTAACTACTGCTCTAAGAGTAAGATATTTGAGCTTCAGGTTGATTTATTTAGGAATTGGATATTAAAATAGAAAGGTAATGTTTCAATAATTATAGTGTAGTTTGTAGTATCTGACCATCTGAGCCCAGGCCATAGCTTGTTCTTTGATTTGCTAAGTGACTTCGGGTGAGTTTAAACCACTCTACTATATCATTGTATTTTCCAATTTGTCAAGTGAGGACACTCTGTGCTTCATACAAAGGCTGTGAATGCAAATGGCTGTGAAATACAATGAGCCTTTCAAAAAAGAGAGTATTTAGTTAAGGTTAGAGGAAGGAGAAAAGATCCTTGCCGAAATATTGCTGTAGGGACTCCAATAGGAAGGGTCCTAGTTTCCAGAAAGCTACTCTCCATAGGAGACAAATATGAAGTGCCTTTTGGTATTATGCTTAAGGAGACCCCCTTACAATAGAAGGTGGAACATATTTTTATCTCATAACAACCTGTTTATTTTTCAAATGGTTCTCCATGTATTTATACTGAACAATGTCTTTCTTTCCTTCCCCTCTGTCACCTTGCAAGAGACTTGTAATGCAGAAGGTACAGCTCTAGTAATCGTTCCCTTGGCAACCGACAGAACTATACTAGGCATAGAAACAGAGACATGAAAGGTAACCTTGTTAAAAAAGAAAACTGAAAAGAGGAGGAAAAATACAAAGAAATCATTAGCTTCTCCTACACAGGCTGATTCTTTGCCTTCTTGGAAAGGTACAATTTGAGATAAACTATTTCCATAATAAAAGCCATCACCTAGGTACTTGTCATCTAATGATAATTAAATACCTATGGTTCACTGTGCACCATACTGTGCATGAGTTAGAGTCTCATAAGGTATCCAGCAGTTCATATTATTAGGTTTTATTCTCCCAGGACATAACTCCCTCTCTATGGCTAATGTTCCCTTTGAAATCAAAATTAATACTGTACATAGGAAGGAGGGAAGGAGTTTACCAGGGAAATTAACTCAAAGATAATATTTGAGTCACATTATTGCTTTCATTCCTTTGATATTCAGGTCATATTTTCAGGTACAGCAACAACAGATGATACTAGAGAAGACTCAGGAATATCTGCTGGTATTTTTTGTTATTCTAATATTTATCATTTGACATGCATCAAGCAGCAATCTTTGGTAAACTCAAATCATGTACTAGATGCTTTATACTAATGACTACTAGGGCAGGAGGCTACATGAATTGCACAGGTAGAGCTTTAGGAATATTAATGTAATCTGTAAAGTTAAGAGGTTAGAGATATTCTCTAAGGTTTCTTTCAGTTCTAAATTCTGTGATTGTATGTCTGCGTGAAGGGAAATAGGAGTCAAGGCTTAAGGTCTGATGACTAGGACTTTCAGCTCCTCTCTGTATATTGGCTATGGCAGAATTTAAGTAATATAATTCTACACTGAGAGAGGATCTCAAAGAAAGTTTTGTATGAGCCAAGCAGTGGAAATAACAGTAGAATTTGGGGAACTTTCACTCTATAGGTAATTTAGCAAAGATACTTGTATCCATTGGTAATATTCTTATCACTAGATCAGAAGAATTACTAACTGAAATTGCATCAATAAGAAATTCAATTGAGGGGGCATAGTGGGTGGCAGTGGTACAGAGGACAGTCCCACCTTAAATACAATTGTTGTCCAATAGAAAGTAATGGCCCTCACCCCCAGGGGAAATGGGATGGGAGCAGTAGCTCCAAGAGAGAAAGGAAAGAAATAAATATTTATTGTCAACTATGTGTCAGGCACTGTGCTAAGCACTATACAAATATTATCTCATTTGATCCACTCAATAATCCTGGAAGGTAAGTACTATTATTATTCCCATTTTACAGTTGAGAAAACTAAAGCAGATAGAGGTTAAATTACTTGTTTAGGGTCCCACTGCTTCAACTCAGGGCTTCCTGATTCCATGCCCACTGTTCCATCCATTTTACTCCATAGCAGGAAGGGAATGGCACCACAGGAACTGTGGAGGTGGGGGACCAAAGAGGTAAACGCCACATGTCTATAAGACAATAGGATGAGGTTCAAAGATGGAGGGGGTGATCACCACAGGAACAAGGCTAGGAAATGCACCCTCTTTCAATTGTCATTGATAGGGAAGTCAGATTGTGGGTTATAAGATTTTGCCAGCAAAATCTATAAAGAGGTAAGCTCTTCAAAAGCCACTAAAAAACAAAAAAAAAAAACAACAAAAATATAAACACATACAAAGAGCTTAGATGATATAATGACTGACACAATTGGAAATATCTCAAAGAGGTCACAACTAATTTATGTAAAACAGATAGAACAGTTAAAGAACATCAGAAAAAATCACAGAGAGATGCACATTAAAACAACTCTGGGGTACCACCTCATACCTATAAGATTGGCCAAGATGGCAAAAAAAGAAATGACAGTGAAGGTGATGTGGGAAAATAGATACATTAGGGAACTATAAGTAGAGCTGTGAACTAGTCCAACAATTCTGGAAAGCAATTTGGAACTATGCACAAAAAAGCTATTAAACATGTGGAGTCCTAAATATCCTTTGATACAGGAATACCACTATTAGGTTTATACCCCAAAGAGGTCAAAGAAAAAGGAAAAAGGCCAATATAAAAAAAAATGTGTAACAGCTCTTTTGTGGTAGTAAAGAATTGGAAACTGAGAGGATGCTCATAAATTGGGAAGTGGGTGAACAAGTCATGGTATATGAATGTGATAGAATATTGTAGTGCTGTAAAAAATGGCAAAGGAGAGGGCTTCAGAAAAATCTGGGAAGATTTGTATGAACTGATGCAAAGTGAAGTGAGCAGAACCAAGAGAACAGTTTATACAGTAATCACAATACTGTAAAGATAATCAACTTTGAAAGTCTTGGTAACTCTTATGTGACTAACTACAATTCCAAAAGACTCATGAGGAAACATGCTATCT